TATGCCACACGCATGAGGGCTTAAGATAGACCCGCCCTTCATTACGACAAGTCTGTCTTTCCATGTAAATTTGTGTTCAGGCTACAGGTCGCAATTTTTGAGATATTTTCATGAAATTTGGTACAATGACGTGTTTTGACGCAAGGACGACATTGTTGAAAATGGTTCGGATCGGTCAACAAAAATTGTAATTTTTCAAAATTTCACGGTAAAGTTGGATAAGTGGCAGTATTTCGTCATTCTAAATTGGTAAAACGACTTTGGACCGGCTGGTGCAATTTTTGAACACCTTCTCATATAATAAAAACTGAAGTTCATGCGACAAAAAGGTATAATTTTCAATGCTTCATAATGAAATGTAATTTAACATAGAAAAATTAATTATACCGAATTCGGACCATCAACACCTTTTTTTGGATGCTGCCTGTAAGAATTACTCTTATACTACGTTATGTTGCGTTTTGGGCCCGATTCCGCATAAATACGCACTTGAAAAATATGCCTTTATATAGAAGCAAAACATGATTTTTTTGTTCTATAATAAAAATATGAATAGTGTTAAACAATGGGATGTAGGGTATTTAATGGTCGGGCTTGCCCGACAATAATGTGCTTACTTGTTTTCTGCTCATTGGGTTACTCGAGGTTGTGAGTACCTTATCGCGGATATTTTCGACATTTAAAACACAAAGATAACGACATTGAGCTCATAAAGACTGCAAAAGTGAGTGAAACTGTAAGTTAAGCTCGAAGGATGCAATAAAATTTCAATCTGCGGTTATTAATATAAATAATAAGGGATGGACTACTTAAAACCCGATGGATATAAAATTTAACAAAAAAATCTATAAGCAGTCTTTCAAAGTCAAGTCTTTAAGAAGCCTTTCATAGTCGGAGTCACTTTTATAAAAATATTTAATAGGAGATGAAATAATCAGCATGATCCCCACAGCACAAAGCGATTAAAGATTTCTTTTATCATTTAAAAATGCTATCATTTTTCGTTTGATTAAATTTTTCCCTGTGAAGTGAAAATCTATGAACATATTCGAGCATAACGCTTATAAAATAGAATGTTCTTTGCAATCATCTAAGCCTTTATATAAATAAACATCTTTTTTTTTTAATACTAAAAGCTGTAATAAAATCAATACTTTTTTAAGCGCATTTTTAAATATCAAATATTAGAAAAAAATTGTGTTTTTTTTTTCTTCTCCTAAAACACATTTCTGTTTACAAATGTTGTTTACATACAAATGATAAAAAAAGGAAAGAAATCCAATTTTATTAATAGCAGCAACCGCATACTACATAAACTTATGTACGTTTGTTTAAATTGATTCTTTTTTTCTGCTTTGCAATCCCAAATTTTTTGCTTATTTGCTTTTGCAGAGACCGCATGTTCAAATGTTGCCAAATTCACCAGCAGAGTGCGATTAGCTTTTTAATTGGAAAAATGATTTTTGCGAATATTTTGCTAATTTTGTTATATCGCTTGAAAAGCTTATCAGTACGAATCGGGGCCCAAGTAGAATATTATAGTTAATCATTAGATAACGCGCTTCGGTCTAACTTGACTTTATTTTTGTAATTTCGTCCTTCAAAGGCACTTCTAATCTGCCCAGTTGACTTTTGCCTTCTTGGTTGCTTTGGAAGTGTTTCGTCGGTTGTTGGCCACTCGGCTCGCTGCCTTTTTGGCTTACGGTGTAGTTTTAATCTCTCCAGGGTGTCGGTTATTTCACTACACTTCTCGTTCTTTCAAAACGATTTTGTGCGCCTTTTTATGTTTCTTGAAAGAACCCCTGAATTCGGATGAACACAGCGTTCATATCACTTTGTTTAAAATTAGTAAACGAATCACAAACCAATTTTTCCGGCAGTCAAGAGCCAAGAGTCGCGGTAATATCTTTCAAGCCCATGCTGGGTGTTAACGGTGTTCTTTCTCATCAAGCCACCTTTAATAAAACCAAGGAAACTCGAGGTGTGCATTGTTTCAAAAATGACTCGGCTGTAACTTGTAAACTAGTTATCAAAATGACACGAAAGTTTCACACGCATTATTTGAAGGTCGGTACTATCCAGAAACTACATAGGCCTGTTTGCCGTGTTGCCACATAGATGTCAGACCGCAGACATATTAAGTGTATAAGATATATAAAAGTTCAGTAATACAGAAGAAAGTGTCGTCGGTTTTTAGAAAGCTAGTCTCCGAATACGGTTCCAAAGTTTATTGAGCTGAATCAAATGCTTCCGTAATCTCCGATATTGTTTGCTTTAACATCGTCATCGATCAAAGTTGTGCCTTATCCGAAAGATGGAAACTTTCTTGAAGCTTTCCGAACCTTTTTATGTTCACAAGCTGTCGTTCAATGTATATCAATGTGCAACGAGAGGGATTTCATTTACATTTTTTGCATTGTTATGTTTTTTCTATTTTTAACTGGATTAAAATGGAAAAAATGCAGCTGAAACAAAAAAAATGATCGCGAGTCTGTTTGGGGTGACAACGCAGGAAGTTATGAAACAGCTAGAAAGTGGTTTGCAAGATTTCGTTCAAAAAATTTGTACCTTGAAAATGAAGTAGGAAGCAACATTCAACTTAAGTTAGGAGCGTTTTTTTCGACCTAGAACTATTCTCCAGACCGGTCTCTCTCCTGATTAGCATTGTTTAGCTCGATATCATATGCCATGGACGTATTTTGCAGGCCAGAGGATCCGCAAAATTTAAAATGTGCATATGTGTGTGATGAGTCGATGAATATTCCACTTCGACACCGTGAAGCAAATTACTGCCATGAGTGCATCCGTAAGCTACTCGATAAAAGACGAAAGACCATTGATAATAATGGTGAACATTTCGCTTATTAAGCTTTGTATCAAGTATATTTTAAATTAAGTTGAATTTTACAAAAAAATGTTATAGAATTTATTTAGCCTTTCATTATGCAAACATTACTGTAAATCAATGTTTGTGTGTACATAGTTTAAACCGTTGTCATGCCCATCAAGTCATTTATTTATGGAAGCATATGAGTAGACTGCGTACTGCAATGCATATGAGTAGACTGCGTACTGCAAGAATACAGTAATACCCACAACATGCAGAGTGTAAAGCCCGACACTATCCTCGATGAACGTGCTGTCGAATAGTGAATAAGAAGGAGTTTTGTTAGCAGAATATAAGTCTTTCGCAATTTTGGGCAGTTGTGCTTAGACAAGTGATTGCTTTCAAATTTATGATAAATAATTTGCAATAACTCGTTCCGCTATCAATAGAAGGTGTCACTAAGATGCCCTGCTTTGAAAAAGGTTTTGATGTTGATTTAGGAAAGCAACTTTTGCTTTGGAGCCAAATCGAGTTAAAGTCTTGCAGATTGTCATACAAAGATCATCATTTTATTGCGTCGATGGACAGTAGCGCACAGTATCGCTGACATACGTATTCAGTTGTAGCTTTGTTTTTATTGATGTCAATAGCGGATTGGACATATACAATTTTCGTAAGAAATCTTATATGAACGATACAGTGACTTCAATCCGACTTTTGAAATTCTCACGAAAAGCTACACAGTTTTCGTTGAGAAAATTTCACCTAAAATAAAATGGTTTTTAGTTGCTTGTGTACCTGCGACTTCCTATGACTGTGTGTGTCTTGCCCTTTTTTTGATGCGAAATGAATAGACGATGTATCCCATCCCATGATTAAATGGTTACGTACCGTTGTTCTGGGAATGTTAGTGGCATCCACTATCTCGCGCACACTATATCGCGGAGTTTTAGTAAGCGTACACTTAAGGAGGTGCGTATCTGACGTTGCTGAGCGTAAGCTGAGGTCTTCGTTTTTGGAATCAAAAAATGGCCAGCCAGACGGTTCTATGTAGTCGTAATACCAACCCGTAAACCCGGGGCAAATCTCATCCTTTGCACTACTACCTTCTTTAAAGCAACTAAGCATAAAATTCCGCAAAAGCTTGCTTTGGCTAACCATATTGAACGGCGTAGAGAAGGGTTTTAAAAGAGTCTTTGTCACCAACGGACCGCATATTCAGAGAGCTATAAGACGACTGAAATCGATGCCTTGAAGCAACAAGCTATAAATATGGCCGGGTTGCCATGAAGCAACAAGCTACAAATGTAGCCGGCTTAAGGTCATACATAGCGTGGCGGGGAAAGAACTTAGGAGACATCCCTATATATATTATTGCCACCAATTCTCGTTTTCTGTGTCTTTTACTTTATTTAGTGTGTGTGCATGCTTTCCTTCCTAACTGTTCTTCATAACTTTATCTTATTCAGACTACAGAGCTAATACTTTCGTTGAGTAAATTAATTTGAACAGAATTTTATCCTCGGTAACCATTCACAAGCTGCTAACAAAGTTACTTATAACATTGCTTTCAAGCGGAGCAGCCTTCGCTTTATATCGAATTTTTTTTTTTTTTTCTTGTTCATTCACTAACAAAGCCGCAATTAAAAAGCTCGAGATATCCTTAAAAATATGTAAAGTCCATTTTATATCATTTAAACAACTAATAATTATGAGCACAACAAGCGTTGTATCTTTTTTTTTACTTAATCTGATTACCTTTTGCCGAAATCACATCAAGGTTTCTAAGTACAGTAAGTAAGTAAATTAAGTGACTTACTAAAGGTCTAATTAAGGTACAAACTGAACTTAGAATATCTAATCTTTTTTAATCTGTTCTTCCGATTTGCGAAAAGAGCGTTCAGAACCTAACGAAACGCTTCACGTTAACCGTATTTTGTAAATTTCGCTTAAACTTGACAATAATTGATATCTGTTAAGAACAACAGTTTGCTGCCTTGTGTCAATTTTCAATTCTATGTCGAAATCGATTGTCAATAAGTTCGTTTATTTTATATTAGATTTTTTTGTTTACCATTTGATCGATTTTGCTTACATAAGAAAACAAATAAAAAAATATACTAGATTCGTGTTTATATACGTACTTCGTGGACTTGATATCAATTCGTTAGGAATGTCGCCCGCATCAAGCCACTTGATTCCGCAATATTTTGCTGGCTTATCGTCGGCTACTGGATCTTTCATTTTGGGCACTGTAATTGGTTGGACGGCTCAAACGGAACATGGCATCATGGACGGTGAATTGGGTTATAAAGTGTCAGAGCGAGAAATAGCTTGGCTAGCAACACTATTCACTTTAGGCGCTGCTTCTGTTTGCATACCGACTGGTTTTATTATTGATATTATCGGTCGCAAATTTACCATGTTACTCTGTGTACCGTTTTTGTTGCTCGGCTGGCTGCTAATAGCCTTTTCCGTAAACACGATTATGTTGTACATAGCCCGATTTATATTAGGGATGAGCGGAGGTGCGTTTTGCATAATAGCACCTGTATACACTACCGAAATAGCGCAGACTCAAATACGCGGTATATTGGGATGTTTCTTCCAATTGCTAATTACAATGGGTATTCTTTATTCCTATGTTATTGGAGCGGTTTGCACAGTTCTTGTAATGACCTTAACGTGCATCGTTCTTCCAATAATTTCGGGAATACTTTTCCTTATATTGCCCGAATCTCCATTCTTTTATGTAATGAAAGATAAACCTGAAAAAGCTAAATCGGCATTACAGCGGCTGCGCGGTAAAGATTACGATATTACAGACGATTACGAAGAGATTAAAACTAACGTGGCTGCAGTCAAAGAAAATCCGGTAGCTTTATGGAAGGGAATGAAGCGAACCGCTAGTCTGAGAGCATTTGCCCTTTCAATACTCTTAATGATGTTTCAACAATTTAGCGGTATAAACGTAATGATGTTTTACGCTACCGACGTATTTGTGTTGGCTAAAACTGGTCTCGAGCCCAAAATATCTACAATAGTGGTCGGATTAGTGCAAGTTATTGCCACGTTTGTAGCTCTCTTTCTTATTGATAGATCTGGACGTCGTACACTTCTAATGATTTCATCGTTTGTTATGAGTCTAAGTACAATGGGACTTGGTGTATACTTTTTTATAATGGATCGTGATAGTGAAACGGCACTAAGTATTTGTTGGTTTCCGGTGCTCTGTTGTTGCTTATTTATTATGATGTATTCACTTGGAATGGGCGCGATACCATGGCTCATTATGGCAGAAACTTTCGCTGAAGATATCAAAGGCCCAGCTACAGCGATAAGCGCTACCACTAATTGGCTTTTTGCATTTGTGATAACAAATGCTTACGGACCACTTAAAAATGTAATCGGAACGGGACAAACATTTTGGATATTTTCTGGTTTCACATTAACTTGCACTATCTTTGTGTTTTTCTTTTTGCCGGAAACGCGCCATAAGACATTTGCGGAAGTTCAAGCAGCTTTAGAAGGCAAGCAAAATGAATGATTACGGTGTTCCGAACGGCAAAATAGAAAACGTTTGTATGCCATTGTGTAGACAATTAAAAATAGCGTTAATCAGCAGATCACCTAAGTGATAGCAAAAATGTAAAAGACAAAAGTTCTAAGCAAGAATGTGAAACAAATTGCGCACAACTTTCCGACTGGATCCCCATATAATTTTTGGTGATGTAATCCCTTTCACGTTCTTTACAAATCGAATACATTTAGATTTAATTACTTATGCGAGTTTGCCAAACTGTCTTTTAAAATAACTTTTAAGAAATAAAGACGTACGTACCAAAGACAGAAAATCTATTTCGAAATGGAGGCAAGTATTCCTGAACAGAGCAGCACTCACCATATGCGCTTTTAATGGAAAGTAATACTAGAAATTTGAAATGGAACTGAATCTTCCAGAATCTCGAAAGCATTACAAGCACAAGTTCGTCGAAAATTGAGAAAAATCGAGTGAAAACATTACAGTCGACCACGATGGAGTTATTTATATAATATAACGACCTTTCAGGATAAGAACATATATTGAGAATGTTCGAAAAACTGATCCTATCCGAACCATTTTTATGGGCGTTGCTTCTCGAGCCAAAGACGTCAGAGTGCTAAATTTGACTAAAATATCTTCAAAATTACGAATGAATGAATGATGGTTAAGCACGAGAACACCATCAATTGCCTTCCGGAGTGCCTTGTGCATATCTGCACAAACTTTACGCAACCGATACCACAAGAAGATAGGAAAGCAGAGTTGACAGAGAGTAGAATTTTCATTAGCGCAGATAAAGCTGGAATTTTGATGAAAACATTTTTCCAGCTTTACAGATCATATTGAAGGCCGGCTTCTTAAATCTTAAACATCTAACCCGTACACTGTATCACAATTGTTCTTTGTTCTAAGGAGCTCGTCGTTAGTTGCACTACTTGCAGATGACATAAATCATTTTTCGTTTTTATCAACCTTTGTAACCAGAATTATTCTTATAATTTCAAAATAAAATTTTCCTCATATGCATACGCCGCCAAAGAAAGTTTCAAGCGCGTGAACAAAGTTTATAATCCCGTGTAACGTTTTTAATGACTACTTCACCGTAACCTTAGTTAACAGTTTATACCATGCAAAAGAAAAAGGATATTTCTTCTTTTTTTAATATCCGCATTAAAACATTTTCATTGCTTAAGAGCACAGAGTCCCATACAGACAGTCGTCTATAGGCATTTTTATGCATTACACACAAATTCGACAAATCAAACGTGTAACTTATACTTGGGCTTAAGAACGATTTTCATTTCACATTCATGCATTAAAATTACTTTATTGTGAACCTTATATGCTTAAAATCAATTTAAATAAAAGTGCTCCTCAACTGAATTGCAGAAGGAAAAGAAGAAAAGTGAAAATTTCTTTCATGTTAAACTATTCCGGGGAAAGCTTTTGTATTTTTTTCACCTTTACGTGTGACACGTTTAAGGTCATGGGGAAGAGGAGAATCGAGATAAGGAGTTGGGGTAGGCGCAATTCAGTGAGGGTGTGCCCAAAGAGGTAAGTGTTATGCCTTTATCGGCTGAGTACTCATTGTAGCTGCCACGGGGTCTAAGCCTCATTGGCATTTGAACCTGCAATGCTTGCGGTACTTACGGCAATGATTTACTGGGCTATGCCAAAATCCCATGGGTTTTAATAGAATAACAGAATAATTACGAGAGACCCATAAAAGGCCGAATCAAATTTTTAATCAATGACGTAGTTTGTCTTGTTTGTCTATCGTAAGCCCGCAGTGTCGCGTTTCAAGATGGCAAACTAAAGTCTAGCGTACAGAATATAGCGGTTGATGGCCACAGAGCAACTACAAAAATGCTTGATACTTAATTCCATAAGAAAAATAATTGAAGATTCCTGATTATAAAAATTAGTTGATGCGCTCATAGCAAAATTTTTGGCACTTGTTATATATTGGTACAAAATTCTAAGTATTAAAGACTACCCCTAAGGTGAATATAATGTTTTCACTTATCATACTTGCGATAAAACCGTGTATTAATTTTGTGCAAATGTATGCAACACCTAGAATGATTTGAGATAGGCTCACGCTATATTATACCGTTCGATTCAGAATCATTTTGTGAATTGGTTTAAGCCTGCCTGTCCGTTTTGTTTCCTTGTATCCGAACTATAGACTTCATGTTTGGTGATATTTTGACTAAATTTGATACACTGAAGCGTTTCGGGTCTAGGACGACCGCTGTTGAAAATAATTCGGATCTGACCACTTTTTCGACCGCTTTCCATATAACGTTTTATTTTGAATAGTCGTTAAATGAATAACTTGGGTTAGTGTAGAGTGTTTAATAGTGGGCTGCGATTCGCTACAGTGTTTTCAATTATTTCAATGACATTTCGTTACCAAACAAAAGATCTTTTGATTCGAGTTGCAATAAATTAAATTAATGCTGTAGTTAGTTAGTTAATCCAGCTAATAGCATCTATGATTAACCTTAGAGTAAACATCGACATAAGACTGTATTTACTGGAGAAATAACGAACTTAAAGTATTTTAAATTAGTTCAAAATGAAAACCTTTGAAGGGGATTATTAATAAATTCCTTTTATTTGTTCAGATCGTTCTTTGTTGTGGAGCAAAAATGCACGTACACACGCACACATAATCCTTGCGTAAAATAGCTTATGCATTATTTGCATTAGTCATAAGTCTGAGTTAATACATATGAAATTTTCAAAGCATGCAACGCACTTACATCAACGCATACGTATTTTCATAGAAGATTATCGTGAATGAAGTTGCCGTAAATGTATAAGAGAAAAGGAAGAATAATTTCCTCAGGTAATGTATTTATGTGCATTTTATGTAAATTTTAAAACGCATTTGTTAAAGTCACCAGAAGTGCGCGCTGAAAATTATAAAAAATTTTTGCTCATTTCAATGTAAAAACAAAATATTCGTCAAGCCAAACTTTGTGAATATTACCTCTGCACTGACATACATCTTTAGGTCGATATTAACTAAGTTAAGACTGTTTCTCTTTCATCAACAGGGCAGAACATATGAAAATTAACATACCTATGTAACTACACTATTACACCTCACGGTCGCTTAAAAAGAAATCGTTTTAACATTTAATCTTGAACTATTCCAGTGCACTTCTAAACGTTACCGCAAATTAAATGAGGAATATATGGACCAAAAAGTCGGCATACACACATATATATATGACTATGATCGGCAAATGGAATATCGTTTCGTTAAATTTTCTCAGAACATTCTGCTAATGGAACGGAAACACTAGTATATCTCTTGTTGGATAGCCATGGGAATAGACTTTCTGCTTTTCTATTTACTTCTTGTATGTGTATCTGTTTACATCTTATGACCATTTTGCGTTCCATGATCACTCCATCTCCATGAGTCGGTAGAATTCCATAATGATAGTTCTATTGAGTTAGAGAAGCTCATTTTATATTACTTTCAACTGATGTCAGCAGATGGCCCTCAGATTCAGCTTTGCTTTCAACACAAACGGTTGGCATGGATCGAAGAGCCTTTTACCAGTCCCCATATAGCAAATTATTTTGGAAAGTCATTACATGAAAAAAAATAATATTACAATTTTTGGAATTCCTTGACAAAATCGCTGTGCTGACATTCTAAATTAATGTAACAAATTTGGATCGAATAGGGCAATTTTTTGAAAGCCCTCACGCCCAACCGTTCCTACGAAATCTGAATCTTCCTATGATGAAAGAATCCAAAAAAAACGGTAATTTCATTTAAAACTTAACCCTATCAAATTTGGATCAAGTAGGTCTATTTTTAGGATATTCCAGCACACAACGATTCTCAGAAAAAATAAATCCTTTATGCCAAAAACATCTACTATTTAATATTTTATGGTGGAAATTTATCCCTAAGAGCAATTTGAAATAAAAAATTAAGCAGGTTAAGTTTGAACAACATGGGTCTACATATTTGCAGCCCAGTCCTTATAAGGTGTCTCATGAGTAGTCAGCCAAGTGCAAGGGAGGTTTAGCTTTCAATATTTTATAATGAAAATTGGTCGATAGCAAGAACTTGACACCGTAGGAAGGATCAGAGGGATCTTCTTTTTACTCCCTCCAAATCACTTCTGATGAAAAGAAGCCTCTTGCATTCGGATAAACTATAATTTGTAGCTTTTCATCTCGAAAACAAGTCGATTAAATTAGTTAAATTTGGGTCCCTTCAAATGACGTTTTGGACAGCGTTTAATACAAAGGCTTTCAGGAGAGAGGTATCTTTACTTGAGGATAAGTTTTGATGTATTATCATGAAAATGCACGAATAATTATATCAGTTGAAGCGGTGTAGGATATGTTAAGGTCAATCTTGCCTATCTATAATTTTTTTTCCCTTTTGCTTTTTAATCAACTCCCAAAAAGAAATCCGTCTCTTTGTCTTCTCACTTGTTCTTTAAAAACAAGCTAATGAACAGAAAATAGAGAAAAAACGTTACTTGTACGCACTTTTAAAACGCGAATAATTAAGAACTAGCTTAAGATGTTTACGATGAAGTAAGCAAAAAATTGTGAAAATAGAGAAAAATTTGCTTGAGAGTTTCTTACAAAAGAAATTAATGCACAAGTGTTTATAGTTTCGGCCCTTTAAGTGTTAATTAGCATTTCTTGACATCATCTCATTTTGTATGACTTTGCATGTCGAAATAATCTTTACGTTCCGTAAGATTCTCTTGTCAAGAATACAAAATGATATTAAGTCGTATATGGCTATGCATGCGCGCCGTTCAATTTTTTTTTTTTTTTTTTTAAACAAGACGGTCTTAACGTTGATGGGCTTTATTAAATACTAAATAACGGCTTTAATGCAAAAAGTGTATTTGATGTGATAATCATTATTTATTGTCTAAAAATGAATTAATCAATTATTACTTGGGCTATTCTTAGTGATGTAAAGGTCTTAAAAGAATTGAAAAAGCAGG